CAGCTTGCTTCTTAGAGTTTCTACAATCAACTTCTCAATGCCATCAAATTCCATATTTAGTCAAGTCAAACCTCACAGAACAACAATCGGCAATCAAGTCGGGTGTCATTCGACGCAGCTTTTTCTCCTCTTTTTACCAGTTGTTTTTGGTTTCCGATTCATCAAGTTTTCCGAGATTAAATCATCATAATTCAGGTTTTCTAGGGCGCCTCCGGTTGCACCCAGAATTTCCGAAAGTTGCTAATCTGAAGCGGTAAACGCTCATTTGCTTTGCAAAATTAGTGTAAAACCATAATCCATTTTTGTAAGTTTCAAAATCCGAAGATTCATTGATGTTTGATGCATTTGTGTCTGAGACGAGCCTGCTAAAATTCGGTGGTTCCATCAAAAAATCTATACAGAAAGAAAAAAGTTGTGCTGTTTCCCGTAGGGTTTGCCCTACCCATACATAACTTGGACTCCTTCCGGGGGTTGTTATAAAGATTTGGAAAAATTGTGAAAGTTGACTTTCTCAAAAAGCATGGGTCGCAGAAAAGAATAATTTTCCCAGTGGTTGTTCAATTTTGTGCGGTAATTATATAACCATTAGAAAGAGAATGAAATGCTGCATCAAATGCTGCCAGAAACTCTTACACATCTTTGTTCCACGAAATTGTTTCTGGAGAATCAAGTTTACATGTAAGAGTAATACGGGGCGGGCAAGAGGCTGACGTCAGCCCACCAAAAAATTATCAGTGTTATTGATTTTACTGATTTTTCGCATTTTTCATCCTAGGAAGCTCGAACTTTGCATTTATAGGTTTTGTAGCATGCTGATTACGGAAATGATAGTCTCAAGTTGTGATACCAACTTCTTACATCAGTTTCTTGGTTTCTACGAAAATTCTACCGTACTGCTACCGTAGTCCCACTGTGGGAAAGTAGTGAACAAAGTGGACACTATAATCGTGATCAGCACGTGAAATAACCGCAAAACACAATTTTGCATGAAAATCCATGATGTCGGGTTCATACAGAATGACTTTCGTAACCCTTACCGTATACTTCCAAAATTGAAATAAAGCATATTTTGGTAATCAGCGCGTTCGATAACCATTGTGGGGAGATTCTCGGAGACATGGTTTGAATTTCTTTCAAAAAGACTACCATTTCGGACAATGCGACCCACGGGTGGGTCGTAATTTTGACGATGCGAAAAACGCTCTGGTCCGAAATAGCAGTAATCGAAAATCGGTCTTGTCGTCAATGTGTTGAAACAATGAAAAAAATCTGGACCACATAACTTCTTGCGTGTTCGCAGAGTTTTTTAAATGACGTAATCAGATCTTTGACATATATATCGGAAATCGTTTGTCACTGTGCATTTGGCATAACTTATGAGAAATGCTTTACGTTCAAGTGCGAGCTTCATAATTGAAATCAACGACTCTGAAGAACCTAGTGTAAGAGTTTCAAGCTTCTTTAGTCTTTTTCGTATGTAAGATATGACATTAGTGCAGATCCCTCCTCATAGTTCGTACCGTGTATCCTCTTTCACTGTGGAAACTGGACGCTTTGAAAAACGACATTCTATTGTTAGTGTGCAAATAAGTGTAGCCTTGACTCAATGTATTGGCCTCAACCCACTTGCTAGCGGCCCGTAGGGCTAGCAAGTGGGTTGAGGCTAGTCTTATATATAAAGCTGAATGTCTGTTTGTCTGTCTGTCCGTATGTCTGTCTGTACGTATGTTCCGAATAGAAAATTCCATTTCTGAACCGATCCGGACCAAACTGGGCACGCATACACTTCGGATCCCGGCGGGTGTCACAGGCTACTTTTCGTCATCGATCGATATCGATTTTATCGATTTTATCGATTTTTTGCAGAGTTCACCTGCGGGGCTGGGAGTTGGCACAGGAGGGTAATCGAGCATGCTGATTAAGAATACAATATTAGTTTTAAAATCGTATATTACTTTTATCGATTTTATCGATTTTTTTGCAAAGTTTGAGCTACGGGGCTGGGATTTGGCACAGGGGGGTACAGGGGGGTAATCGGGCATGCTGATTACGGATACAATATTAGTTTTTAGAATCGTGCATTACTTTTGTCGATTTTATCGATTTTTTGCAAAGTTTGAGCTACGGGGCTGGGAGTTGGCACAATGGGGTAACTGAGCATGCTGATTACGAATGTAGTAACTGTTTGCGAGAATCTTATATATAAAGCTGAATGTCTGTTTGTCTGTCTGTCTATCTGTCTGTGTGTACGTATGTTCCGAATAGAAAATTCCATTTCTGAACCGATCCGGACCAAACTTTGCACACACACACTTCGGGCCCTGGCGGGTGTCATGTGCTACTTCTCGTCATCGATCGATATCGATTTTATCGATTTTTTGCAGAGCTCACCTACGGCTGGGAGTTGGCACAGGGGGTAAGTGAGCATGGGGATTCCGAAAACAATACTACTTTTCAGAATTATCGATTACTTTTATTGATTTTATCGATTTTTTTCGTAAAGTTTGGCCTGCGAGGCTGGGAGTTGGCACAGGGGGTAATCGAGCATGCTGATTACGAGTGCAATGTTAGTTGGGCCGGCTATCCGGGCCCCAAAGTTTCTTTGTCGTAGAGCTTGCTCAAACTTCGTGTATAAGGGTTATCTTACGTGCTGAAAACAGATATCACACTTTCGCAGAACGTCTTCCCGTGTGGTTACGGTAGATGTACGGTAGGAGGTCAAAATCATGAATTCGGCTAAAGTTTTGCCCAGAACTTTTTCGACATGCTGATTACGAATTTCATACTCTCTGCATATTAGAACCTTTTCATAGAGTTATACGGTATGGGGTCGAAAACATAGATTTGCTTTAAACTTCGTCTAGGGTGGTCACTTAGCGCGCTGAACCTGAATATCATGCTGAATTCGCAGGATAGTGCATTTTCTTGGGTTACGGTGGGTGTAGATGGGTCGAAGTTCCAGATTTGCTCAAAACCTTACCTGTAACGGTTCAGAAGTATACTACTTATGAAGACGATTAGTCAAGTTATGGTGAATTGCGGGGTTTGAATGGACATTTTTTCGCTTTCGGGCCAATTTAGATCCTAGATATTCACGAACTGGGGAAAGGGTTGTTTTGCATGGCGGTCTCCAGCGCCATCCTGATAACCTGTCCCAAAGTGAACGCACGCGGCAAATCTCCCTCCCCTATTTCTGCTTAGGCAAAAGCCGCCGAAGGGTGTATCGCGCGCTGCAATGGCCCTATAAGGAAATCATTGCGGTCGTGGGAAACTTTAATGCCACACGAATTGCCATTATCATGGGGATTAAGCACGATATTCTTGAAACAGCATTCCCTGCCAAGGTATCAGGCAGGTTCATGATTTTTACCCGCTGCCACACGAAATGACTACCATATCGTCATCAGCGGCTTGAATAACCCCCATATACCAAGTTTGAGCAAGACACGCCACAAAAACATTTTAGGCCCGGATGGCCGAATAACGTCATCAGTTTTTGGAATTATCTTACCTTTATTGATTTTATTGTTTTTTAAGTTTAAGCTACGGGGCGGGGGGGGGGGGGTGAGGAAGGTAGATCAGCATACTGATTACTCACACAGCGGGAATAAGGAATTGCATGTAGAAGTGGGCACAGATAAAGGTGTACAGTATACTTGGGTAATTCGATGATTTTTCATCGAATGAATGAATATCGAATAAATTCGAAAAGGAAAAATTTCGAATAAACGAATATCGAATAAATTCGAAAACAAAAAATGACTAACAAACGATTATCGAATAAATTCGGAAAATCAAAAATATCGAATGAATGAATTTCGAATAAATTCGGAAAGTCAAAAATATCGAATGAATGAATTTCGAATAAACTCGGAAAATCAAAAATATCGAATGAATGAATATCGAATATATTCGAACATTGGAAGTCGAATTTCGAAAAAATATTCGAATGATTTATCGAATAACTTAAGCAATCACATCCAGGGTAAAGCGGGGGGTGCGGCACGCCGCAAGGGGGGGTCGTAAGGGGGGGGGGGGTAGGTAGGGGGGGGGGTCGTATTGACCCAAGGTCAAAAGCACTTGTACAAGCTGTGTGACTAAATTGACTTGATGAAAGCGCTGTTGAAATCCTGCAAAATTCAAGTTCAACGACACAAACTTGCAGATACCGTATGCCTACCGTAACCTACCGTACCTCTAATCAAGCATAACTGTCGTAATCCGCGTGTCAAATAACCCCTATGCGCCAAGTTTCAGAGAACTCTGAGGTCTCCGAGCAGTAAACAACCTTGTATAAAGCAGTAATTTAAAACATGTTTAACTTCATCTTAACGGTGAGTAAGCTACCTCTTCTTGCACTCAATACAAAGCACTACTCCTTCTTTGTCCACCTCAGGAATCCCGCTTTAGAAGACCTCCAAACTATTGAATTAGAAGCCAACCAAAATCGCTTTTAGCTTTTGATAGCTGTGCTTTCACCAAATATTACTCAGAGCTAAGAAGAAGAATCAGGCTCAAAACATCCCTATGGAATCTACGAGGTTTAGGCTATTGATTCATATAAATATTGTCCGCTAAATATGTTTTTTTGATATAGTTAATGGCCTGCGGCACCCCCCCCCCTCAAAACCTGCGGCTGCCGCAGGTTTTGAGGGGGGGTGCCGCAGGCCATTAAGTCACCTTCAAAGAGGTTAAACATGAACGCTATCTACATCCTTGCAATTAGTGAACCTTCTCCTCTTTGAAGCAAAAATTTCATTCGAGATCGTTTCTTTCAAAAGAAGTTATGGAGCCTTTTTCCATTACATTCACTTTGAAAAAGGGCGAAAAAAATATGGGTTACGGTAGGACGCCGGCTCTGGTCCGGTACGTAAGTTGCAGGGACGCGGCAAAGTGGATAATTTGAATGCTTTGTACTGTTAATGCGACCATTTTTGAGTTGTTCTTGCTTCCGTGTTTGTTTTCGTTTCATTATCTTTGATGATTGCTGCCATTTAGGGATGGTGCGCTTATGTTAACAATTTTTCAGGGCATTTCCGATGAAGCAAACGCGCTTTTGGACCAATAAAATGTAGCATTTCCCACAGCACCCATTCCTCGCCACGATTGCTTACTTGTTTGCGATGAAGTAGCAGCTTCTCCATCTGAATGTAAGTTGTGTGATCATACTATGTTGATTTCATCTTGAATCACGACAGAGCTAGTCTATCTTGGCGAAGTCTGCGTGAAATGCTCTATTCTAGCTTTTTAATTTTATTTGCGCTTAGCTGTAAATTTTTTTCACACTCTTAGTCTCGAGTAGTTTATTGAAGATTATCTAACTTATTATCAGATGTCTTTTTCTTGTGCGAAGAATCGTTTTTCAGTAATTCTGACTTGTTAGCCCAGAAACTGGGCTAAGTCAGGATTAGTGAACAACGAGCAAATTTTGTTGCATAGCTTGTAACAAAATTTGTCTTGCCATTATACGTCATTCTGTTTGATGGAAGATTTCTTCATTTGGAAAACAAAGCTACTATTTTTTCAGGTTTCCCTCTTGCCTATCTGAACTTTCCGTGTTTTCTGATCTTTGCGAAAAGATCAGTGGTCAGAAGACTGTAGATACGGCCAGAGTGATGGACTATTGCAGATGGATGATGAACAGCTAGAAGCAGCTCGCAATAAGGATCAGATGGCAATTTTTAGGTAATTACGAGTTGCATTTCTTTTTTTACTGCGGATGTCTTGGTTTAGAGATGAAGTGTTGTCAAGTATAGATCTGAAGAATGATAGTATCGACCTTGGCACTACTATAGAAAGGGCTGCTCTGGAAGATAAAGAGTAAGTTTACAGTAATCTCCTTGAGTATCTGGATGCCAGATTTATCTGAAGTTTTGCAGTCAGTCACACTTGTTAAATGTAATATTCATTTGGATTTTAGGTATACAACTGACAATCCAGTGGCTCAATCTAGGACCGTAAGCATCTGAATCCTTTGTTTTTCAATTTTTATTGTCTTTTATCATGCTTATAGGCCTCAACAACTGATTCTGGCTTAGAAGTCGACTTTGAAGCACCATTTGTGGCAAGTGTTTTGTGTTATCCACTTATTGATGTTTAGCATCAGACAGAGAACTTATGGCACATATTTCAGAGTTCTACAAAATAATCAACAATTGTCAGTGATAAGAAACCCAAGAAAAGGTTAAGTAAAAGAAAGAGGAAGGAAAGGGAGATGGTTGGCTTCCACGGGGAAATTCTAAATCAAGCATGCTTATCCAAGTCTTGCAAGTGGATCGTCTACCCCTCGAATGCTCGTCTTCCACAGTGTTTGAGAATTCCGAAGATGATATAGTCAAAGATGTAGAAAACCTAGAGGCAATACTCACTAAAAGTAAGAGGAGGCAAAGTGTAGAGGTGTGTGGTTGATAAATCTCTTTATTCTTACAATTCTACGATTTATAGTTTTTTCCCTATGTTCCAGATCATTTTCATGTGTTATCCATTACTAGTCATTTCCTATGATAGTTCTTGAGATAAGATAGAAGGGGGAAGGGGCATCATTGAAAGCGCCTTCTTTTCAAGTGCATTTGAGTTTTATTTAAAATCGCTCTTGTTGAGTTGAAGTGACCTTACGATGGCTTGCTTGTAGCGCGAACTGTTTAAAATTCTTAGAAACAGAATAAATTGATTTTGTTAAGGTTTTGGAAAGTGAACTAGATTCACAATCTGTGCACTCACCTTCTATAGTTTCCTCATCAACTTTTCTCAAAAGAAAGAAGAAAAAGAAGTTGAAGAAAAGCAGTTTATCACGCACAGTAAGCTGTTTTTATAAAGAGTTCGGATGATCAATTTTTGAACAGTCCTATTTACTACTTGATATGAGGAATTTGTAGATTACCAGACCCACTCATCTCAAAACCTTATTTTTGGAGAGGATGACTAATATCTATTCATTTGAGAAATTCTTCGTCCTTCCCATGTAAATTTATAATCCTGAACGTGCTTGATATCTGTAGAAGGAAATCGGCTAGCATGCATTAAAAATTTCAATCTTTTCATTTCAGAGGTTCAAATGCCTTCATTGTATTACTTAAAAGTTGACTCTGAAGCCGTCTGTTTGTTGGACAAAATGACATCTACAATCAGAGCACAGTCTCGTGGACGAACCGATATTCATCTGTTCAGCCAAAGTAAAAGACTCCCGTTTTATTTTGATGCCACCTATCTTTTATTTTGTAGATGTTGCCGTAAACGCAAAAACTGGTGTTAGACCACCTTCAACTTCTATCAATGTCGTCGATCCCGAAACTATTCAGTGGACAGTATCTGGAGAAGGAAATTGGCTGCTACAAACAGGCAAACGTTATGAGCTTTCCCTGCTGTTGTTGGATCCTCATGCAAATCAGATGTACATTAGTGATGTAAGTAGTCATCTCTTTTTTATTTGTTTCGATTTTGGTTTTTTTTCTAGCTTCATTTTATGCATTCCTATTACAGAACTTGCGCTTTGACGTTGGTATCTCTAGCGACTACTTCGAAATCCACTATGCGTCCAAAAATCATAGCTATTTTGAAGTGACGCCCAAAAAAGTAGGAAAGACTACGCTGAGAAGTAAATATGCAGCTGTTGTGGATGAGGTATCACGTTTCTTTTGTATTTCTGTTACATCCGATGTCAAATGCTTGGCTTCAGGCAGGAAAAGAGCGGCGAACAACAGGAAAAGTAACTAACAGGCTATACAAATCGTGGACCCTGTGAAGATCCATCTCAGGTGGCACTCCTTATCTACCCCGCAGGAAGACCTCATTTCCGCGGTTTACGATTGATGTTCCCTTTAGATTTTGTGAAGCCTAGAATAACTTGCAGAAGCGATCACTTATTGTGAAAGGCATCGTCGCTGTGCAGATTCTTCTTCCTTCCTTCCTTCACTCTCAGGTGGCTGCAGGCGTCTACTTTCAATGAGCGAAGTCATTTGTTGCCTATGTGATCTCAACTCACTGAGGAGCAGAAGCAGCAACAGTATCAAGAATTGCAAAAGGTTAGTGAATATGCTCTTTTTTCCTTCAGTTCGCTTTTCAAATGTGTCATGTGGTTTCACTCTGTTTTCGAACAAAAGCCTCTAGCGTCGTTTTCTAGGAGTTTCTTTATAGCTTTTGGGTGCGTACTTTTTGCTATCTTGTATGAGATTATGTTTCTTTTTGTAGATCTATGAAGTGTGATGGGCTTGGCTTAGCGCTGTGCTACCAGACTCATCCGATCTGAAACAAATGAGTGACTGGGGCAAGAGTTCATTGCATGCAGATCATCTTGCATCTCCGTTGTGATGGTTGGCATTTATTAGTCGTGTCGGAAAACTCTCACAACCGAAATGCAGGATGATCTGCATTCAATAAACTCGTGCAAGTTGTTTTGCTGGGTAAATCGCGAGGCGAATCGCTTGATGTATGCCTAGCCCAAACGTAGCAAACAACGTCAGGAAATTTACATTTCCATTGCTCTTTTCATCAAAAGTTGTACAAAAAGCGAGACAAAGTAGCATCAGTCTGAGATCATTTCAGGCCAATCGTTGCGGGACAATTGTGGATGAAGACGAGTTGACTGGTGCAAATGATGATTTCCTGATGATTTTCTTTCTGATTTATTTTTTATGATTTTCTAAATAAACATTTATAGAAAGTCGGTGTAATGATTTTGCACGTTCAGCGTGCGCATCCGTGCGCGCCAACCAATCACCGTATCGAAGATATCGCTCTGCGGGTTCTGAAAACGAGGGTTTGGCCTGGAACGGCAAAAACATGGAGGTCGAAATTCTGGGTGGACGGTGCCTTCAAGAGCGAGAGGGGGGGGGGGTAGGAATGGGGGGGGGGGTCGTGCCGAGGTCCGGCCCAAGGGGGGGGGTCGTATCCGGCGGTCGCGTGCCGCACCCCCCGCTTTACCCTGATCACATCTCAAACTTGCCGACATATCTGGCTAAAGCCGATCCAATCATAATCAGCCCCCTAGTATCCCCTATACCAACTCCTAGCTCAAAATTTTCCAAAAATTGCTGAAATCAATGAAATATATTTCGGTTTTACTCAGCACCCTCACTTACCCCTTTGTACCAACTCCCAACCTCGTAGCTCAAGATTTTCCAAAAATCGATAATAGATAAAGTAAATTTTTATCCATAATCAGCACCCTCACTTACCCCCTTGTGCCAACTCCCAACCTCGTAGCTCATAGCGCTAGGTGTGCGATCTTTTGAAGCAATAAGGTGGCCACATATGTACTTAAAATTCCACAAATGCCTGTTGCCTACATTGCCTGTTCATCGGAGACTTTCGTCTTGTGTGGTATAAGCTAGTCGTGGACGAAGGCATGTGGTTTCCTCCGCGAAGTGAGCACGAATGCCCCTATAACCCCGGGCATACTGCAGGCATTTCAGTGGCGACGTGGTATGGCAATACTCAAATTGTCCAAAACCTATTCTGAAAGTACAGAACGCAGGGCATTTATCTTTTTGGTAAGTTGTACACGCTAAACATTTGTGGTAAGCTGCCATTACATCTGAAGACATCGCGTACGGCGAACTAAACCGTCTAATCCTGCACTACAGCTGCGATGTCCTTTACCCAATATATACACCAATTCGCAAAAAACTCAAGGTAACGAATAGGCAGTTCTGCAATAATTTATGCGAGCAAGAGTGCTCACTAATGTGGGCTTTGCGTACCGCAAGCATGAGCAATGCAAAAAAAGAAGAACAGCCATTTCAATTCAGTATGAATTTAGAACATGAGCTTGAATTTGATATCTTCTTTGCTGATTTGGTGCCAATAGCAGTGCGAACAATCTCTTTGATCGAAAAAACATCAATCAAAATCCACATATGATTTTTTTTTACTGTCGCAAGCAGTCGGAAGAATGCGACTCTCCATACAGTTCAAAGGTATACCGGTTGCAAAAGATGCATTACCGAGTTTTGCGAAAAAAAAAACGCGGACGAAGTGAGCTTGATACTCAGCATACTCAGCAGTTGGCTCTGCAGCAAAGTCGAATAATCTGAATACAGAGTACATTCGAATACAAATTCGAACAAACATTCGAATAAAACATTCGAATAAAATCTATTCGAAACCCCGTTTTTTGATTATTCGAGTTTTCGAATAATATTCGAAACCTCGTTTTTTGATTTTTCGAGTTTTCGAATTTTATTCGAAACCCTGTTTTCTGATTATTCGAGTTTCGAATTTTATTCGAAACCCCGTTTTCTCAATTATTCCAGTTCCGAATATTATTCGAAAATGGAAGTACTCCAAATATCGAATTTCGAATACGAATATGTTCGAATGTTTTATTCGAATGATCGAATTTCTATTCGATTCAGACCCAAGTATAGTGTACAGGGATAGAAATGAAACCTTTATCGTTTTTGACATGGCCGGGCGGAGCCGGGTAAGCCAGCTAGTATAGTAATAAAAAGAAATGGGTAGTTGTTTCCGTATGAAGCCATTCATATTAGGTTGAACCGAAAGTTCGTTCGCACCATTTTCAAAAAATCATAACTTCTTTCCGTCACGACGATTTTGCGCAAAATAACTTTTATTAGAAAGCGTAAAGCATGTAGTTTCCAATAGTCTCCTGGCGACTTTCCAGTATTTTCAGATTGCAGAGATAAAAATGAAAGAACGAAAACATCCGACATTCGGAGTTTTTGAGAAACAATTCCAAAAATCTAGAAATTGCGCGATAAAATCCAGAAAAGCCATTATCCTAATTTTTCTTATATTTGATTACTAACTGAGTTAAGTTTGTGCTGATCGAGCTCTTCTTTCAAAAGTTATGATTTTTTGAAACAAATGCCGAAAAATCAATTTCTTAGGAATTCTTAGGATTTTTGCCGAGGCCCAAAATTGAGAGAAGTATAGCCCGAAAATGCAAAAACTTCACTTTTTCGAGTTGTTTATGTCAGGCATTTTTGATTATCAGGGCGCATACAGAGGCATAAATTTGAGGTCATCCTTACTATGGATTATAGTATACAATGACATATGTGAAAGGGGCTGAGGGTGGAGTTTGCCATTTTTGAACTAACATTTTCTTCTTGCTTCCGGTGTGCTGAAAAGATCCAGTAAAGAATTTGTGTACTACTATGTTTCTGCTTTATAGTGACCAAGTTGGAGTTCCCAAAATTTTTTTCGCAAAGATCCTATATCCCGTAAAAAATTTTTTTCAATTTTGGCCACAAACTTTACCCGAATCAACACTTAAGTGTTCTTTAGTGATCAATCTGTAGAGCTTGCCTTTCTCTATCGAACGCTCCAAGTCTGCTAGGAAAGCACAAACATTTTGATTTATTTGGAACTACTCACACAAATGACCGGACTTTCCGCAAAGCCTTCGCGGAAGTTCCGCCGGGTCACCTGTGGAAGTTCCGTAAGCGTGCTGCGGAAGTTCCGAAGAATGCCAACCACAACAGCAAAAGAAAACACCGAAGCGAGATTACTCACCTGCCATCCTCTACACTACGACTGACATGTTCGATAATGCACTCTAGTTGTTGGCGAGGCAACATCACGAGACAACACATTCAAAGTCCTGCGGAACCTCTGGCATTTTTCGGAATTTTTACAGGATTTTGAGGAAGGCTCTGCGGAAGTCTCGGTTTTCAATCAGTTTAGCACGAAAATCTCGCGAAAGTTCCTATTTTGAACGTTTTCATTTTTTCAATGCTGAACAAAGTCCTGCGGAACTTCTGCAAATTTGGCTTGTCCTGCGGGTTCTGGTGATTTGTCTGGGTAGCTGGCTTACCCGGCTTCGCCCGGCCCTGTCAAAAAATTATGATAAAGCTCTCATCTGTAACCCTGTACAACCTTTCCCTGTCTCACGTCTACATGCCATTTCCCTAGTCCCGCTGTTTTAGAAATCAGGGCCGGTATAAACCTGTCGAAACGCGCAGCTCAAACTCAGAGTTAACAGGATTTAGGACACGCACCTTTCAGGGACCATTAACACCTGCAAAAGCAAACCAAACTGAGGAAAGGGTTATATGGCAGGATACCCCGCAAGACGTACTTTATGCCAAGTGTGGAAACGTAGCGTAATTCGCTCCACGCGAGACGCTACGCGACGAAACGCGCAGCTCAGCTGCGCGTTAACTCTGAGTTTGCTGTGCGTTTCAGGCGCCCGCGAAACTCGGAGTTAACTCTGAGTTTGGTTAGAGAAAGAGGAATAGTGCGTAAACGCAGAGGTGCAGAAAAAAGTCCTCCGGGGTAGATTTTGCTCCGAGTTTCATGATGCACGATGGGGGTATCATGGTGCACCGTTGACAAAAATTCAAAATTTCGTAAAATTTTGATCCCGGGGGTTATCCGACGCGCTGATCACGAATCCGATGTTCATTTTTCGCCATTCGCCCACAAAAGGGGGTTACGGTAGGGATGCGGTAGTTGGGCGAAAGTCACGAAATTGGTTGAAACTTGGTACAATGGGGATTTTTGACATGCTGATCATGAATATAACATTCGTTTTTCGCTACGGGGCCACGGAGCGGGGTTAGGGTAGGTATACGGTAGTTAGGCGAAAGCACAAAATTGCCTGAAACTTGGTACACTGGGGTTATTTGGCACGCGGATAACGAGTATGATAGTCATTTTTCGCCATTCGCCCACATAGCGGGGTTATGGTAGGAATACGGTAGTTGGGCGAGATTCAAGCAGTTGCCTAAAACTTGGTCCGGCAGGGTTATTCGCTGCGCTAATTCGGATGTGGTAATCATTTTTCACTGCGGAGAGATAGAGCAGGGTTACTGTAGGAATTTGGTGAAAGCCAAAGTACCATAACAGATTTGAAATTGGTTGGCTCAGTGGCGTTACGCGGTGTGTTGATTACGAACACATTGCGCGTTTTTCACTAAAGCGGTCTATAGCGGAGAAGAGATACGGTAGACTACCCAAAACCTCAGGATTTTATGAAAGTTGGCTTCGTCAATTCCGGTTAATCAGGAAGATCATAGTCGCTTGAAAATACCTTTCAAAAAGGGGTTTCGATGGATTTACGATAGATGGATAAAAAATCTCACTTAGAATTTTTTTCAGGGGAAGTTTAGCTAAATACTTAGTGACCAGTGACGGTCGCAGGATTCCCGTTCCGGGAGGAGGGGAGAAGGGGGACAAAAAATTTTTCAAGTCAAGGTGCATGGCGACAATTTTTCGGGGTGCTTCTTAACATTTTTTGCTGGCCAATACCCCTAGATTATAGGAAAGGGGGCTTGTCTGCAGCTACCCCCAAAAAAATCTTTTTACAAGGCTAATTTGAATCTTAAGGAATTTTAAAAGATAATTTTATTATTTACAAGAACGAACAATGCATTTGCACATTTTTATAACACAGTAAGTAAATTTCAAAAATTTCGCGACCCATCCCGGAGAGAGGGGTAGCCCCCTCTTCGGTCCGCCACTGTTAGGTACTTACTATTTCTTCTTACTGCAAGACTATGCGATGGGGCTGCAGTAGATGTGTTGGAATAAACTTACTAAACTGCTTAAAAATTCGCCACTGAGTTCACTTGGCAATGCAATTGTGATCATGCTGTTCGTTTTCAATGAGGATTACTACGGTGGGCATATACGGAAGAGCGCAAAAATCTCAGGTCGAGTTGAACTTTCTTAGCAAAAAAGTAATGATACCAGGAAGTGTTTTTTAAAATTATTTCTTTTTTATTGTGTCAACAGAAACTTCAAGAAAAAATTTTCGAAATTTGCTACATTATTCAGAGGTCTTTTGAAATGCTAACAGTCGATTTACGAATGACCTGTAGACTTTGTTTACTTGAAGTTTATTTTCCTAAAATAATGGTCTATTTCTTATTACAAATTATAGATCTAGGTCATTCGAAAAATTTCGGAAACTAACAGACTTTCGAATTTTATCAAGTATAATAGCATATCAAAATATTGTGAGAGGAGAGGGGGACGGATTGTTAGGTTACTGTCTATGTCCATATTTTATCCTGCTACTTTTTTGAGAATCTTTAGGATATATTATGGCTAGGCACCAGTAGCGGATTGAAGGGGGGGGGGGTGAAACTTACCTACATGGGTTATAAAAATGTGCAAATAACTTGTTTATTTTTGTAAACAATCAAAACAATTTTTAGAATTTTTAAAAAATTTAAGTTAGCCTTGTAAAAAAATTTTCGGGGGCTTTAGCCCGCACGAATTTTGAGATGCACCTCAAAAAAAATTTTCAGAGTGCGTGGCTAACGCCACGCACCTTTATTTAGAAAAAAATTTTGCCGCCCCCCCCCCTCGGAACCGCTCTGAGACCACCACTGCTAGGTACCTCACAGGCAAGCCTAACGCCTCTCCACGTGTCCTTGACATGTGAGATCTTGTTTATGTGGACTCACTAAGCAGTTGCGGCAATGTGCAGTAGTGGCTCTCTAGTCGAGCGGTCTAGAAGTAGGCACTTCGCGCCGAGCAACGGAAGTTCGAGACTCGACTTAATCGCAGCGTTTTGCGATGAAGCACGTGGCGGCTCCTCAACAACTAGAGCGGATCCTCAAGTAGCAGAACGAAACTCCTAGTTTCAGAAACGAAACTCGCAGTTAACTTGGAGTTTCAAAACGAAACTCAGAGTTGACTTGACTTTAAAGTTAACCGAACTTTGAAGTTACGCGAAAACTCGGAGTTTCGACAAGATTACTACCGGCCCAGCATGCTCGATACCTCCCTGTGCCAACTCCCAGCCCCGTAGCTCAAACTTTGCAAGAGAATAGATAAGGTCGATAAAAGCTAATGGATAACTCCAAAAACTATTAGGGTGATCACTAAAAAATGGGGCACTTACGAAATAACTGGAAGTTTCTCAAGAAAGAGAAGTGATTAGACTTTCCAATTTTGGTAGTTGTTAGAATATGTTATTCTCTTTCAAACAATACCTATATAAGGTCATTTGCATAATTGATAATTTTTATACTTGCTAAAATGCAAAGTCAGTCACTTCGATGAATTGAAGTTTGAACAGTATCTGCGCAGTGAAACATGTGAGACCACCCAAAGTACCACTGCTGGAGGGGGTGGTGGGACTGCCACTAAACCCACGACGGCTTGATGGCCTCAACTTTCAAAGTCAGGAGATATGGCCATTAACAGCTTCGAAAACAAAAATACGCGTTATTCAATTCATTGCAGGTAAAAGCATGTTTTGTAAGCATTATCTGATAGAGCTTTTTACGCTTCATCCATCCATATACAGATCATCTCAGATTTTATCTATCTTGGGAAAATATAGGGCAAAACATGGTTTTTTTGGTTCTTTGTTGCGCCAGAAAATGGCTATTTTTCAGATTTTTTCGCTTTTTTTCCTGAAATGAAAAAGAAGTGTCATGCATTTAACATATGTTTGAAAGAGCATAAAGAGCTCTTTTGAATGATATGTCACTTGGTTTATGACTTTAGGTATAGCAGCGCAAGATTGAGAATTGTTCCAAAAACCCTGTCTGAGTTCTTCACGGCGTCACGTGCACGTTATGAGAGAGGGACGGTAACGCGTTGCCAGAATAATAGGCGAAGGTCGGTTATGTAAGCGACGTTTGAGTTGCAGCCTGCTAGTTGTTAATGAGAACAGAAAACCTCAAAATGTAATAAAAATCAAGCTACCCCATTTTTTAGTGATCACCTTAATAATATTGTATTCGTAATCAGCGTGCTTAATTACTCCCCTGTGCCAATTCCCAGCCCTGTAGGTCGAACTTTGCAAAAAATCGATAAAAATGAATAAAATCGATATCGATAGATGACGAAAAGTAGCTTATGACACCAGTAAGTTTGGCCCGGATTGGTTCAGAAAGAATTTTCTTTTTGGAACATACGCACACAGATAGACAGACATACAGACAAACAGATATTCAGCTTTATAAATAAGAATACGGTCTCACTTTTGAGACAGCTAATACTTTCGAAGTCGGTCATTGAATACGATTTATTGAAAGAGAGCAGTTACTCATGGCAGAAGATTATAATCAAAATCGGCAACTTAGGCGTCTATTCAGTGATTTGTTCAATCACATGAAAAGAAGAACCTTTCCAGTCTTTCATATAGGGAGAGCAGTTAATCTTCTCCTTCATTTGAAATAGACGCTTTACCCATCCGAAACTGAAGGCCCATACAAGGTACTTGCATCTATCCGTTATAAATACATTTTCTCCTCTCTCATTTTTTTCTTGAAGCATACCTTAATGGATAACCTTTTTAGTGTAATGTTATCAATGAGACCACACTGAATCCCTGACCATCCCTGATTATTGGACAATCAAGAATATAGACTAGTTTACTTAAGACGGGAAATGTCATCTGAAAAGTCGTATCTCTGCAGGCAGAAACCTTCACAAAGAACTCAGTAGGATCAACGAAGCTTCGAAGCGGAAAAGCTTTACAGGACCTATGCAGCAAAAGAGTACTTCGAAAGCTCAAGTCCCACATACCTGAGGGCTTGGAATAGACGAGAACCTACACTGAACCCAGAAAAATGAAGAGATTTGCAAGAGTGGCAGACCCCATGTAAATGGGAAGATGCAGAGGTTAAAAAGGTGTTGACTTATCCTGGTTCAAACATCTAAGTCCATCTTCATAAAGGTTTCTGTATGCAAACATGGTCTTGATGCTAAATAGTCTGAGCTTGTAAAGCAGATCATGACACTTACCTGCAACAGTCATATGCACATTATCATAAAAGTTGGTTACGCAGCCATCTTTTGGGCCAAGTACATTAACCTCGATGAAATGTCCTTTGGAAATTCCGATTGTTGTTGAGTGCTAAGCAGACAAAATTTTCAAGTCGTTGTATCAGACTCATATGTAATTGCTTACCTTGTATATTTCTATGACCTTTGCCCGATATCTTTTTATTGTGTAAGCTGCATCACTATACATTGGAAGTTTTCCAGAGATCTCCACCGAGGCAACTAAATGGTTTACTTGTGTTTCTAGTTCAAAGCATTTTCTATTATAATGCGTTCCGTCTGCTAAGCTTCCTTCTATCAAAAGCTTCCACTAAAAGACAAGCGCTAGAGGATAAGCTATTTTCAACATACGTCGGTCTGCCATGGCAGAAGATAAATAAATTTTTGTTACGTTGATTTTGAAAGCTTACCGAAAGTGATTGATTGATCGCAATAAGAATGCATCAGGTTGACCTCCTTATAACAAATACAATCCTTCAACTTGTCCGTACTATTAATTATATTGAATTCGTTGTACTCTTCATTCATAATGCTGGGGTCGGTGCCTTTTGCTTCATCAATTTTCCTAAATCGTATGGTTAGTGTGAGCGTGCGAACAGCATTGTGTTGGGAGGGAAATGTTTAGCGTTCTGCAGAGCAGAGAATTATTTCGAGAAAAAACGCAATTTTTGGGCAATTTCTAAGAAAATCCTTGAGAAACTAGCTTTTGAGCGCATTTGTCCGCAGTACATGTGCTGGTGAAGCGAAAAATTAAAAAAATTTTCAGAGGTAAAGTAAACGTCATCCGTCTAGACACCTCGGTGCGGTGTGTATTGCACACACATTTGAAATCCCGGATGCGATGCTGTGGTCCCGCCGTACCGTAGTCGCACCAAGTGCACATACGCCTAAATTTTGACGCCAAACTGCCTGTTTCTCTTATTTTGATGCTTTTTTTTTTGTTTTTAGCTTCACGCACCGACTAAGTTTCGATAATTTGTCACTTTTATACGTCGTGCATGCCGTTTTAGATCGAATATCTCGAAATTTATTACCTTTGCTTTCAGATAGGGGGAGCAGATGGGCAAAATTGCAGGATTTTAAAGTAAGTCTACTTTATTCAGTATTGTCGTATGCAGAAAGCGTAGAGTATCTCCCAGGCAGTACTAGTTTCTATCTCCTTTTCATTGATATCGAAAGTTCTGGTTTCTTATGCCCGTGCAATCCTGTGTTTAACTTGAAAACAGCTTCTCATCGAAAACTCGACAAAAAGCAGGATTTTTGATATCAAAGAGAGGAAAATTGAAACTCGTACTGCCTAAAAGATACTCTACGCTGAAGAAGGCAAACTTACTTAAATCCTGCAAGATTGCCCATCTGCCTCTTTTACCTGTGAGCAAAAGTGATAAATTTCGAACCATTCGAACTGAAACAGCACGCACGACGTACAAAGGTGACAAATCATCGAATGTTAGTCATTGCGAGCTAAAAACAAAAAAAAGGCATCAATATAAGACAAACAAGCAATTCGAAGTCAAAATTTAGTCGTGTGTGCACTTGGTGCGACTACGGCCCGGCGTGACCCCACATCTCATCCGGGATTTCAAATGTGTGTGAGTAACACACACCGCACCGAGGTGACTAGACGGATGACGTCTATTATACAGTATTTCTGTCCAAAGATTTGCCCCAATCCGCTTGTTAGCAGTGCTAATCTGTATATATATATATATATATATATATATCAGTGGCGTACCGAGGGGGGGGGGCGGGGGGGGCGCGCGCCCCCCCCCCCCGAGAATGGGTCGCCAAATTTTTAAAAGTTACTTATATGGGTTATAAAAATGTGCAAGTGACTTATTTATACTTGTAAATAATTAAAATAATTTTTAAAAATTTTTAAAAATTCAAATTAGCTTTGTAAAAAATTTTTTTCGGGGGCGTGGCTGACGCCACGCCCCCTTTTTTCCAGATTTTAGGGGTTGGGGACCCGCAAAAACTTTGAAAAGCACCCCTAAAATTTTTTCGGAGTGCGTGGCTAACGCCACGCACCGTCATTTGAAAAAAATTTTTGTCGCGCCCCCCCCGAGCGGAAATCCTGGGTACGCCACTGATATATATATATATATATATATACTAGCTGGCTTACCCGGCTCCGCCGTATCCGGACCAAACTTGGCACACATACACTTCGGGCCCCGGCGGGTGTCACAGTCCACTTTTCGTTATCGATCGATGTCGATTTTACCGATTTTTATCGATTTTTTTGCAGAATTCACCTACAGGGCTAGGAGTTGGCACAGGGGGGGAAGTGAGCATGGGGATTTCGAATACAATATTAGTTTTCAGGATCGTCCATTACTTTTATCGATTTTATCGATTTTTTTGTGAAGTTTGACCTGCGGGGCTGGGAGTTTGCACAGGGGGGTAATCGAGCATGCTGATTACGAACACAATATTAGTTTTCAGGATCGTCCATTACTTTTATCGATTTTATCGATTTTTTGAAAATTTGAGCTAGGGGGCTGGAATTTGGCAAGGGGTGTAATCGAGCATGCTGATCACCCCCCTTGGGGGTGATCAGCATGCTCGATTACCCCCCTGTGCCAACTCCCAGCCCCCTAGCTCAAACTTTGCAAAAAAATCGATAAAATCGATAATAGTAATCGATAATCCCGAAAACCAATATTGTATTCGGAATCCCCATGCTCGATTACCCCCCTGTGCGAACTCCCAGCCCCGTAGCTCAAACTTTGCAAAAAAATCGATAAAATCGATAAAAGTAATCGATAATCCTGAAAACCAATATTGTATTCGGAATCCCCATGCTCGATTACCCCCCTATGCCAACTCCCAGCCCCGTAGGTGAACTCAGCAAAAAAATCGATAAAAATCGATAAAATCGATATCGATCGATGACGAAAAGTAGCCTATGACACCCGCCGGGGCCCGTAGTGTATGTGTGCCAAGTTTGGTCCGGATCGGTTCAGAAATGGAATTTTCTATTCGGAACATACGTACATACAGACAGACATACAGACAGACAAACAGACATTCAGCTTTATATATAAGATATAAAGCAGAAGAGCTGTGTTCTTTTGTCTGCGCACATTCGTCGTCATAAAATGAGCGGTCAAGCTCATTTTGATCTGCTGGTCATCTAGATACGGTCAGGAAGGTAGGAGGCGTGCCCAAGACGATTTGGAACTAAAAGAAAACTAAATTTCGTTACAAGAGAAATCAAGCACGATGGATTGGTTTCAGAACGCGGCGGAACCCGGGATGCCAGCTCGTTTTAACTACAAAGCAGAATTTCTCGTCTGTATAGGCTGTGTCAAACGACATCGGTTATGCTACGTCGCATCTGCGGCGACCAGCGAGGTGCGGTGTGCATTGCTATGCGTTAGAGCACATTGCATGCGGGTCGTCGCAAGGCATGCCGGTGCAGGAGCGACCCCGGGTGATACAGCCTTATACTACGTAAAATATAACAATTTCGTATTTACCACTTAACCACCCTGATCCGTGGAATGCGACAAATAGGGAGACAGCAGACGGAGAAATTATGATGAAATACACTGATCTTTGACTATGGATTGCTGCCATGCATGCGTTTTGAATATTGCCAAACTTCATAACGAGCGACCAAAGCATGTTTTCGTAAAAGGGTCACACCATTTTAAAAGTTAATTCTAAGTGGTGAGAGTTGCAGTGACTTTGAGTTCGGGTCTCCAGTGTCCGGGTGTGTTACTTGTACAAACTGTTTTTTTTTTCATGTTTGATACCCTAGAATGTGTTTGTCAAATACAGGGTGTCCTAAAAAAATGTGCCTACTGTTTGATTGTAGATAACTTTCTTATAATGGAGCTTTTCGAGAAGATTTAGGTGCCGTTTTCTAGCGAGGTTAAACTTAGATTTATAGTATGGAGCGAATCATCTATCTCTTTTCAAAACTGTAGGATCACGGTAAGAACTTCCCGCATGTGAAACCAATAAAGTATACCACCTAACAAAATTTTTTTCAAAAAATCTGAAAAATCGTGTACTAGGTTTTCGCGCATGCTGATTTCACCCAAGAATTTCTTGCCAGTGTTTTCAGCTTTTTTGATGTGTAATTACATTTCTGACAAGTGCTGGGAACTGAGTTATTACGATTTACTGGATAACTGAGGAAAAAAGCATCATGATAAAATGAGAATTTCAAATTCAAAATCAGCTCCCATTACCATAGTATAAGAGTTCTTGGCTTGTTTGGTTTTGTTCCGAGGAAAAATGTAGCCTCCAATGGCCTAAAATCCTTGTCGAATTTCGCACCGTAACCCTACAGTAATTTAGAGCGATGACGTTTCGCTCCATACCGTAAATATAAGTTGAAGCCAGCTCTACAAAATGGTACTTAAAGCTTCTTGAAACACTTCATTACAGGAGAGTTATTTGCAATACAGTAGGTATCGTCCCCTCCACAAATCGTGCTACCCTTAATCTGCGTCTCAGACCTGCCACGTGTGGCTAATGTTGGCAACGTGGCAACAACATGTTTGCAACATGCCCAACATGTTGGCAGAACATTTTGGTCACGCCAACATGTTGCTGCATGTTGCCAACGTGTTGCAGCCAACGTAGCCAATGTGTTAGTCACACGTGGCACGTCCGCGACGCCACAAAGGTAGACGATCTGTGGAGAAGACTATATATTTTTTTGGGACACTCTGTATATAACTATGTCGTCCCAAAAGTTTTGTCGGTTTTTTCGCACCACTATAAAACCACGTACAATGAAGATCTGAATGAGCTTCAGAATGTATTTGATGCAGCTTTTCCTTCTCTTTCTTGTGGTTACATTTTCGAACCACAATCCTCTATGCTTTCTTTGATAATTGCTGAATTTCTCCACCGTCATTTTTGTCTGCTCAAAGTTCGGCTAATTTTTGAAAATTTCATTTCAAAGTTTCGGAAAGGGTTAAGTAAGTATTAAATAGAGCAATTTTTGGACTACAAGGTAACATTTTCAGATTCTCGTAATCTGCTGTTTTTAGCTTCAAAAATTTATTTCTCCAGAGGTCTCGATTTTTGGCAAAGTCTTGAAACACGGAAAAACATGAAAACTCGTGAAGTTTCTGCGAATTGCAACATGATTCTTATTGAACACTATTTATGCAACATTACCCAGTTTGACTTGCTTTGAAAAAGCAGCTTTTTGGAATTTTCGGTACTATTACGTGGCAGACGTAATCAAAAAGCATCGGTTTTTATTAAATAAATAATTATAATGGGCTTGGTAAACGTGTTCTATATAATCTAAAATGGGTGCAATGTAGCCAAAGGTTTACTCTACATGATAGTTTCCAGCGATTTGAAAACCACGAGGTAAACATTTTTAAAATTCAGAAAAGATTTTGCGTTATTGCTGAGCTGCTCAAAAAGCCATGACGATAACTTTGCAAAGACGAGTAAATCAGAGAGCAAATGTAGCTGTAAGAAAGAAGATAATTTGAATAAAATGGTACCTGAGTCGTCCACGGATTGGTGTTCACCAAGTTTTAGTGAGAGATGAAAAAACGGACAAAACTTCCGGGACAACCTAGTATATACTATATATCAGAGGTTTACCGAGGGGGAGGGCGCTCCCTCCCCGATCAGGGAGCCACGAGAATTTTGGAAAACATCGGTTATAAAATTGTGCAAATGACTTGTCTACACTTGTCAATTATTATTATAAAATAATTTTTAAAAGCCAAAAAAATTCGTTCCAGCCATATAAAAATGTTTTTCGGGGTTCTGAGCCCGCGGAAATTTCAGGGAGCATATCAAAAAAATTTGGAGTGCGTGGCTGAAGCCACGAACTTTCATCGAGAAAAAATCTTGTCGCTCCTCTCCTCCCCCCCCCCCTCCGAGCCCAAATCCTGGGTTAGGTATGTGTGTACGTATGTTCTGAATAGAAACTTATTTCTGAAGCGATCCGGAGCAAACTTTGCACACATACACTTCGCAAAGGGGCGGGTATCGTAGGATACTTCTCATTGTCGATCGATAACTGTATCGATTTCTCTAAACTTACGGCTATAGAGTTTGGAATTTGGCACAGCGGGGTACGTGAGCATGTAATTCCGAATGAAATAATAATTTTTCGAACTATCGATTGAAGTCGACTGCACGAAATCGCCCCCATCGCTGTAGGTTGAACGCACGCACGCTTTTATGCTCTTTCTTGTTATAAATATGATATCATTCTCAAGGGAGAAGGGGTTGGATGAAGCCGGAAGAGGGAGGGGGAAAGAATTGGGAAGTGACTGAAGAAGATGTGTAAGGGAGACAAAAGCTGTACCGGTAGGCTCAGGCTCTGACCATGGAGCAAAACGCGCCAATGCGGAAAGTAACACAACTTTTTCACTAATTTTCTGATCAACAAATGGTAAAAAAAAGAGGTTTTCAAAATTATACCTTCTATTTTTTGGTGAGCGACAGCACAAGCATAAAAGACAAGTGCGAATTAGCGAAGGGGGGGGGGGGAAGGGGGGAGGGGGGGGAAACGGGTGGAAGGAGGCTTCGCAGAAATGTTTCAAAGTCGAAAGGGGCTTCGTTCCAAAATCTCCTTGGTTCCAACCAGCGCCGAGCACTGACAGACACTCAGAAGTAACAAAAAAGCAACTTAGCACTTATCAAATGTTGAGTGGCTAGCAATTCCCATACATTGTGTCGTTCACGCATTCACTTTTGAATTTTTCTGCGGTTTTGCGCAGGCTTATTTTGGCTCCACTGCAATTAGTTGTGTAGAGGGCGTAGAGGGGGCGTTCGTTAGATATAAAGCCTAAAAGACACTTTCCGATTTGATCTCCATAACACACTCGGGGTGGAGGACTATATGTCGCCGAAAGGATGGTCTCTCTAGACATCTGCACCAGACTACGCAGTCATACACGATGCAGACACACAGATATGTATCAGCTGTCGGCGCGGGGTAGAGCCTATTGGCGACAAACAGTTCCTTGCCCACCCACTCGGAGTCAAACACTAGCTGGCGAGCTTACCTGAAACAAATACGTGCCTTTTTGGACATTTTGTAACAATCATCTTGATGGTTTGTCCTTCAAGCTCCTCAGACCCCTTAACTTTTTTGAATAAATGAGAGCGCAATAGTTGTTCTATAGAGTTACTAGAATTACTTTGTAAACGGTCAAGACAACTGCTTCGACGATGGTTTGCGACGACGACGACACCACTTTAGTCAAGTTCATTCGAACTTCAGCAACTAAAATGAGAGTCTGTGGGCTGTTGTTGAATTATCAATGGTTCTACTTATCAACGGTTCTCAATAAAACTCAATGCTTTGAAAATTATATACCAAGCTTGTTTCTTCATTCTATCATAATTAGGGTAATCGGAAAGTAACGAGGCATCTTGATTTTCTACAATTTTCTTTTTACTTTCTTAACAACAGGTAGGAAGTGAGTATCCTTGCCAATTTTTCTGACAAATTCATTACAGCTCCTCTTCCACTCTCCCTCCACAAACCTTGGTATGAAGCTTTGGGAGAGTCGGATAGGGCTTTGGAATATCTACCTGCTGTACTCAAAACTGTAGGTGTAAGATAAAGAAGTTAAGCTCTTTTGAAGGTGAAAGTATCCAAAGTTCTTTGCATCTCTGAGCAAGAAAATACCTGAAAATTTTTTTTGTTGCGTCGGTTTTTTATGGAATAGAGAATAAATGATCATTTTTTTATGTTCCGAAGGTTAAGAATTAAGGTGTACTTCACATGAATGGCTAAATTGTATTAGGTATGCTCTATCAAAATCAAAAAATGTAAGTTTAAATGCAGAAAATTGACAGTATACGACGAGTTTGAAATTATATCTGGTTTGAAATGCTGCAACCGCTCAACGTTTCTTAATTGACTAACACCTTCGGTACACTGCCTAGTTGGTGCTCAAATTCCATGATTGCTTGAAGTACGAGTTGCATTTCAGCAGTTACAAAAATATATTAGTACCTTCTAGCGTTTATTCGAACGGAAGGCATGTTCTAGTATCTATAAAAATTCCTTCATATAATCGATTTTTCCAAGAGAGCTGCAATCACAACATTACTCTGATCATCTCACTGGCCCTCGGCATACATAGCTCACACTTTGATCGCAACGCGATTTGAAAAGTTGCCGCGCTCCTAAAGGCATTGTCCAGGGTGGTTGGATCTTGACGCAGTGCGAAGCAAGGCTCCTGACTGATGCAACGGTTCAAGTCCGATCAAAAAAGGTGGATTCTGAAGTGAGGAAATCGCTCAAGAAAAAAGGAGCAGTGGCCGTATTCATCAACGAACCCAATGGGTTCCACAACCTAGTGGGTTCGCGATTTCGTAATTTTGCGAACCCACAGGCTGGGATCGATATTCAACTTAAGCACTGCTGGGTTCGCTAACCCAGTAGCTTCCTGAATCTAAATCCGGTTTCGTAGGTAAGCCTACCCAGTGGGTTCCGGAACCCACTGGGTTCGTTGATGAATACGACCACAGGATTGGCAAACTTTTTTCCGAAGCGATTTTCTCACTTCAGAATCCACCACCTTTTTCGATCGGACTTGAACCCTTGCATTAGTCAAGAGCCGCGCTCCCGTATTGCGTGAGAACCCCATCACCCCTGGTTGACCTAGACAATGCCTTTAAGCGTGTGGATCCCAAAGCATTTGGTGGTTGCTCGGATCGCCTTCGTTTTCAGATGTGCATATCTCTCTCGGCGAAATTTTTACAATTCGCGACGGTGCAACAGTCGCGTCGTTTATCATCAGCATTTCTGATGAATCCAGTAATTCGTTGTATGTGATGAATTTGACTGTTTTTTTCCTTTGGATCAAAACCAACACCCTTTCTGAATACCTAAGCTTGCATGAGCTAAGAAGAGCAACTATGTATGAGGCAAACTACTTTTTAATTGATGGTAAGGATAACCAATGGAACTCATTTGCGTTCAGAAAAAAATGTGAAGGCCGTCCTTAGAAAGTAATCCGGATCCACCTTACATAGAGAATGTCCTCTTGTGGAAACGGACTATAAAAAAATCTGCTCATTACCAAAGCCTGTTTTTGCAGTCTTACTGCTTTTTTTTTACCTTGCTCAAAAATTTCGACTTTGCCTTTAAACGGTGATGCACTGTTTGATTTTATACAAATGTGAAAAACTATTTTTTGAAGCGGCGGGAGATTTGATTGTACTATTTTGTTGTGCAATTGAATGACATCGCGTCAGATCAGTGGCGCGCCATCGCGAAATTTATGAAAGTTACTTGCATGGGTTATAAAATTGCGCAAATGACTTGTATGCACTTGTAAATAATTAAAATAATTTCTAAAATTCTTAAAAAAATCATTTTAGCCCCATAAATTTTTTTTCGGGGGGAGGGCGTAAGCCACGCCCCTTTTTCTGAAGTTTTGGGGTTCTGAACCCGCGAAAATTTTAGGGAGCATACCAAAGAATTTTTTCTAAGTGCGTGGCTGACGCCACGCACCTTCATCGGGAGAACATTTTTGTCGAACCCCCCGAGCCAAAATCCTGGGTACGCCATTGCGTCAGAAGTATAGTTGATTCCATGACCGCACCAACTGAGCGACACTCGGACCCGTGCCGCGAGATAAAACGCTTGCCTCAGTACAAATTCGCCATTGTCCAAGTCGTGCTCGCGCAACAACACAGCCGCGCCGCGGGTGGTCCGCCACTTTCGAGCAGTCCGTACGGTAAACGAATCGACGATGTACACACGGACGACCGATGAGCGACTCATTCGCCGCTTTCAGCGCCAATTCGGGCTAGTCCTGTGAATCAAAAATCGCGACGACTTCGTCGCTCAAGGTAAGTACAGGGTCCATACATGTTTCACTTCAGTACAAGTGCTCAATGCTTTAGTTTAAACATGCTTTTCGTGAGAGTAACTTACCGAAAGAAGCATCACACCAAACTTTCGTTGCAGAGCCTTTTGCACAAAGTTCACATTTTCTTGCTCCAGTAGGGCTGGGCACAGTTGGTCGTAAACTGGAGCTGGGCACAGTTGGTGGTAAACTGGGGCTGGGCACAGAGGTTTCCGTGGTCTTTGATTCTGTGGGGGATGCAGTGAACTTCCCTTCCAACTCTGCTTGTGATCTTCTTTTTTTCTCTTCCATGATCTTCTTGCAGTCGTCTTGAATTCCTTTCGCGTGCCATTCGCTTACTTTTTTATAACTTCCCCACCATGTGCGAATATCGCACGCAGTTAGCAAAAGAACGTGTTTGTAATCTTCTTTTCTGAGCATGCCTAAACATCTTTCATCTAATTGTAAATAGTAGAAATTAAGTAATTTACCCCCAACAACCATGTGTCCATTAGGGAAAAAATGATATTCATCTATTGAGCATTGCTTTGGGTAGGAGAGCTTAATAGTTATCAAATGCGGGTTGTGGGATTCCGAGTCCTGAAAAGCATGTTCCTGCAATTTTAGAAGTTCACGTTTTGATATGACCTACCTTGTAAATAGTAGCAACTTTCGTTTTCATAGTCAACATAAAGAGTTTTGTTCCATTGTATGTACCATATACGGCAAGCTCGGGTTTCCGCTGGATCTGCACCCACGCAGCTACACAGATAAGTTATTTTTCACCTTTGTCACTTAGCGTTCCTAATATGACAAAAAGGATGTCATTTTAACTTTCACATGTCTTCTAGCTATGGAGAGAAGGTTGGATGAATTCATACAAATGAATTTTTAAAAGCGCTCAGCTTATGGAAAAGCGAAGCGAATCTTGAGTCAATTTTGAATAATTACGTATGTATTAGTATGTATTTGAGTTTAAATGGGATCTATAGTAGGCTAATTTTTTGAATGCTGGTGGCATCTTACCGAAAGAAAAAGTATCATTATCGCAGTAGGCGTCCATCAATGGATGCGTGTGACAAAGGCACTCATCAAACTTTTCTTTGAACTCTGCAGTGCAGGTGGCGGCAAAGATTAGGAGATACAGCATCCTAAAAAGATCTTCTTTTATTCCTAGAAGGTAGAAAGTTGAATTGGACAACACCATACAAGCAGCTATGGTTAACTTGAACTCGATAAAATAGACCTGATAGTAAGCTTCAATAGAAGAAAGTAATAAATCTACCGAACTTGTAATTTTTTTCCAAACTTTTCTATGTGTCTGCTACATACTGTTTGAAGGTATGTTTGTTACAGAAAATTATCGCAAACGCATATATATCGCAGAGGACCTTCCATATGCTTTGCCAATCTATAGCTATGTATATGGAAACAAAGCTTCAGCATTACAAAGTTTCGTCCACATCGTTGTGTTTTATGAAAAAAAAAGAGGTCTGAGTGAATGACCGAGATTTTATTATCCTTGGGCGGGATTCTCTATGACAGTGGGGACTGCAGAATCAGACCCTAAAAAGATTGTAAGATTACAGTAGATTGTAAGATCACTTTACAGTAGTGGAGTTCGTTACCCTAACGTAAATGTGGCATTCCATGATGGCCGCTAATCTAAACCTAGCATGAAAGGGTGATCTTCCTTTTCCCCTTCGATCTCTGATTTGTAGCAAACATCACTTCTAGTTGGTACCTAGTTTTGTTTTAGTTGGAGTTTTCAGTTAGCTTATTTTATTCGTTCTGACTTATCTACTGAGACTAGGCCAGGGGATGGGGATAGGCAGTCACCGAAAAACTCGCATTGTTGATTTTTCGCACTCCGCCCGCAGAAAATGAATGATTGCAGATAAATCGTGGCGAAACAAAAAATCAACAGGCGGACCTACAAAACCCCTTGGTCACTTTTTGAATTTTTGACAACGAAATAGGAAAAAACCAGTCATCTATTCCGATACCCGCTTTACACTCAGCGATTTCCGAGTAGGTGCAGCGCTAACCTTTCGGACTTGGGGGTGACAATCACCATCAACTTCAAAAGTCATCAATAATGCTGGAGCCACAGAAGATTCCCACTACTTTTTGCTATAGGCCAGGTCTTCAGACAATTTTGTCTTTCACGCGGTTTGCCACCCACGCCTCCTCCGTGGTGCCCTTAACAACATGATGTTCCTTGTGTGCAGCTGATTGTAAGTTGCATAAAATCAATAGCGTCGTAGGTCGCAACATCTGTTAGAAGAAGTCACTTTCTTTCTAGATAATTAAAAGATAACCATACTATGATCAAAGGTGTGAAATATGATCATGTGCGAAAACAACTGCTATGAGACTCCGATTCCAAGTTTGTTGCAAAAAAT